GGGGGGGGGGGAGAGGAAGAGCCACAGAGGCAAAGCACACCACGGGGAACGGAGTGTGAAACGGAAAAGCAGCAGCACAGAAGGCAAGCAAGGAAGGGCAGGACAGGGAGAGGCGACGGGGAAAGCCAAGCATCCCTGATTCCACGCTCATGTCCTCACAGGTGAGAGGGAAAGCCTTCAAAAAAGTTTCCTCCCAGCTGAGCAAGACCACAAGACTTGTTGGTACAATTTTTTTTTTTGCACAAAACGAGACTTCCTCGCAATCACACCACAGAAACTGTATTTCTGCAAAAAGTTGTGTTTTGTGCAAAACAAAAACCTCAAGTGTTCCAATGCAAAACAATAAAACTCTTTTGCACAAGATGTGTTTTGTTGCTGTCCTCCTCGTCGTCCATGGAAAAAGGCCTTTCTCCTTCCCTCCCTCTCTTTTTTGGCCGGCGGAGGGGCCTCGGTCCTTAAGAGAGAGACCAGGCCCTTGGCCAAGGACCCTCTCAACCCAGGAGAGATTCTCCTCCCAAACCAGTCACCTTTCCAAGCTCTGGGTAAGCGTGGCGGAGAGCAACCGAGCACGTGGGACCCTGAGAAGCCCCACCAGCCCCGGTCAGCGCTTCTGGCCACTCTCGGGGCCAGCTCAGGAGCCCCCGGGGGGGTGGTCCAGGAGCAGCTTCATGGCCCGAAGAGACAGAAAGAGTTTTGGTTCCCTAACGGGTTACTTCAGTCCCCTTTCTCTTTGCTCTCTGTGTCTAAAATGAAAACATGGCAAGCCACGGGAGGTCGGGGGTGGGGGATTTGTGCTTCTGGGTGACACCTCCCCACCTTCCCCAGCCAGCTGTGGAGTGTGTGTGTGTGTATGAGGGTCTCTAGTTCAAAAACACAAGTCCACCCACTGCTGTCGAAGAGGAGCAGGGGCCCCCCAAAAGCACACCACGGAGCGCTTCGGAGGCCACGCACACCCTCTCCGCAAGAGCCGAGGCGATTCCAAAGTGGGAAAAGGAACAGGAAGAAACGCAAGACCGTGAGCCAGAACAATAGGAGAGACTCCGATACCGCCAGCCTGCAGGAAGGTCTGTCTGGCAAACCTCAGCCCTTCCCTCCTCCACCACCGCCCTCACCGTCTGCTCCTTCCTTGCCCAGAGCTGCCCCGGGCCAAGCCGAAAGCAGCTATATATGGTCACCGAGCAGAGATTTCCCAGGAGAGACGGAGAACAATCGTGCTTAAAAGGAATTCTTGGAATCGAAGGGCCATAACACGAGCTTTTTCCAGCTCAAGGGCAGCTCAGGATTGGGAAGGGAAAAACACTTTTGCTCATCTTCACACTTTCTCCGTTAATCCTGGAATAATGGAGCCGGAAGGGGGCCTCTAAGGTCATGGAGTCCAACCCCTTGCTCAAGGAAGGGAATCCAAATCAAAGCAGATCTGGCAGAGGGTGGTCCAGTTTCCTCTTGAAGGCCTCGAGGTCATGGGCTCCGTTGTCGTACTGCTCTAACAGTTGAGAGGTTTTCCGTGATAGCCAGCCTAAATCTGGCTTCATGTAGCTTGAGCCCGTAGCTACATACAGTATCTTGCACTTTGGGATGACTGAGAACAGATCCTGCCCCTCCTTTGTAGGACTACCTTTCAAATATTTGCAAAGTGCTCTCCTGTCTCCCCTCAGTCTTTTTTCCCCTCAAGGCTAAACCTGCCCAGTTCTTTCCGTCTTTCCTCCTCCTAGGGCTTGGTTTCCAACCCCCTCCATCATCCTTGGCTGACCCTCCTTTGAACTTGCTCCAGTTTGTCTGCATCCTCCTTAAAGTTTGATGTCCGGAACGGCACACAAGACTCAAATGAGGCAGGACCAGTGCGAGATAGAAGGGGGACAAGTACCTTACAGGATTTGGAGACTAGATTTCTGTCAATGCTTCCTAAAATCGCATTGGCTTTTTTTGCAGCCACATCACACAGTTGGCTCCTATTCATCCTGTGATCTACAACAGTTCCAGGATCCTTCTCACATGTACATAGTATTACTGAGCCAAGCATCCCCCATTTTATTGGGGTTGCAGTGACAGCAATTGCCTTTGAGATAAAACTAAAGCTGTAGTGTGTCTCTTTTTTCATCTGGTGGGGGGGTGAAGATTCACAAAATTCTACAAGCATTTGGCCCGTCATTAGCCACTCTCCCACCTCTCCCCCATCTGCCCCATTATTTCCCGCACCCCAAACCAGGCTGGTGAAATTTCTGGCGGAATTGCCACATCTCTACTCTCCCTTCCCCTGCACACACGTGTGCTGCTCCTCGCAGCCTCTGATACAAATGTTCCACCTCCCCGACAGGAAAAGGTCCTGAACACAACTTTTTATGACCCCAGGATTGTCAGCCACCCTTTCCCATCCATCACGAAGGGCGGTCCTTCATCCCCAGGAAGCAGGGCATCATCCACCCGTCGCCCGTCTCCCGCTTCGCTGCTGTCACATTCTAGGCAAGAAGCACGATGGCCTCCCAAGGGGACCAAGCGGTTCACGCTGGCGTGACTAACGAGGGAAATGGACCATTTTTAATTACAGCCATAGCCAGGGACTGCACATGGGTCTACCCCACCTTGGCCACTTTATGTGGGGGGGGAGGGGGGACAGGAATCAGTTCTTGAACTTCCCCTTCCTAAAAAAAACAAGACCTTGGCCGCCTCCAGATAAGTGCAATTTAAAAAGTCACGTTGCCCTTTCTCCTGGCTGAAGAGAAGTCTTGTTTTTCCCTTCCTTTTCTCACAGCTATCCTTGACTGGGGAACCAGACCGGGTGTTGGAAATTGTTCTGCTTTGTTTGATGATTTGGGCTTGACGGGCTAATCAGGGGATTCCTTGAATTTCCCAAAGCAGACAGACTGCCTCAGATGCAATGACCCAGCCACACTGGGGAGTGTGCGTTTCCCCAGGTCTGTCTGAATTCCCTGGGCACACAGGGAGAGAGGAGGAAACTGCCTAATCAGCCTTGTTTACGGATTGTTAATGCAGCTCTCCTAGAGTCCTGCAGGAGGCACAGCTACAGAAGAACCACCCATAAGCTGGAAACAAGACCAGAGCAACATGCATTAGAGGCTCTCTATGACCTCAGATTCTTACTTGAGCCTCCTTCCCTCTTTTCCCTGCTCCCCAGCCTCCACTCCATCTTTTCCCTCCGTCCGATTCCTGCTTCCAAACCTGTTCATCTCTTCCTCCCCTCCTCAGGCGTTGCCTGCCTGCCTACCTGTCTGCCCCCCTGAAAAATCTTCTCTACCTCCAACGTCTCACTTTTTACCACCCGCTCTCAGCATTTTTGGGGGAAAGACCTCCGCCTCCCCAAAAAATGAACACTATACAACTTAATTTTTTGAACTGAAGTTCAAAACTGAAAGGAAAGATGGCCAGGCAATGTAGTCCAGGTATTGGTTAAATTTGGGGGCAGGATCTTGGGGAGGAAAAGGGAAATTAACTGGAACAACCCCTGATTAAATGTTTCCTGACTTTGCTTCTTTCGGTCAGTCCATGCGGTGCTTCGGTGGACTTCCTGATGTTTTAAATATAAATACCGCATTGGCTTAAAACCCAGGAAAATGGGTCAGACCTCAGGCTGGGTGAGTCTCCTAGCCTGAGAAAAGCCAGGGGGGGATGTTTTGGGCGAGGGGAGACCTGGCAGGTCCCCATGAGACCCTCTCCTTCCTTCCCCTGTTCTCCAAGGAGAGGGGCTCCGTTTCACATTCCAATCCTTTGTTTGTTTGTTCCTTTCTTTAAAAGAGTTTTACCCTGCCTTTCTCTCAAAAAGAACCCAAGGTGCCTTGCATCCTTTAAAAAGAATATTTAAAGTTAAAAATCAGGGATTCTTTTGTCCATTTTTTTTTTTTGCCCCTCTGGGGCGGCCACCCCCTTTTCAAGCAGGCTGTCACAGCCTCTGGTGGTGCCCAAAGCCACACCTGAAGTGGGTGCCAGGCAGCAAG